GGATGGATGGATGGATGGATGGATGGATGGGAACCAATCCCTTAAAAGCCAGGTGGTTCAGATCAGAGGGAGTCTCTCCCTCCTGTTGATTGAATGCATGTTATGCTGTAAAATGGATTGAAATGTTTGAAGAGCTGCATAAAGAAAGAATTCAGAGCTCTAAAATTGCTGGTTCCAGTCTGATCTTTGGTCGCAAACTAACATGTTCATCACCCATGATTCTTTACTTTTACAGGTTTTCTTGATTGCTTTGATGCATTTGTGAACACAAGAAGCTGAACAGCAGCATTTAGGGTCAAAGTGACTATTTTTGTTAGCAAAAGGCTCAAATCAAGCTACAACATTTAAACTATTAAACAAATGCAGATGTTACTCTCAATCAGCCTTGAAATAAATATGATGTGTTCCAATTAATCATTACATAATAAATGACAATATACAAAAGTTGATCTTCAGTGAAGCCCAGAGGTTTTCAAGAGGGGTCCTGGTGCCTATCTAAAAAAATATCTTTCATGACTGAGAAACACCGTCCTGTTATCATCTCAGACCATGCATTATATATATAATCCATTTCATGCATAGTTGGCAATGGACAGCTATCCAAAAGTAATTTTCTTGTGTTCATGTGGGCTTTTATTTTGTAAATGCAAACAGACCACTAAAGTGGACACTGGTGTAGTATAAAATACACTGCCATCTACTGGCCATCCACTGGAAGTTCAAAACACTTTAGTTAAATCCAGAATGGCAGACAGATGAGAAAGCATGCCGACCCACTCAGGAATATCCAGTCCCTCTTTCTACTGTAGAAACTCTTGCAGGTAAAATTATATTATGACATGAAGCAACACCTAAAGACTAAAACTATTGATGTAGTTTCCAAATAACAACTTTGTATTTGGAGAAATTACAAATGATCACCTGTCCACTAAAGTGAACGTCATGCATCAGTGGCAATATTTTGTCAGGTATTTACTGACATCATTACTCTGACTATAGATATACAATATGCAATATTTTTGTCTGTAGCTTGAAGATTTAAGGAAAACGTCCATTCTTGCCATTTTATTTTCTAACAAGGGTAGTTTTTATTGTGGTTCAGAAAGAACTTACTAAAATCCCAGCATTGTTACATTGATAAAAATAAAATTTACCAGCGAGTAACAGTTTGTGATTTGACTAATTAGAGACATGATTATATATTCATCTGCTTATCGGAAAATAAAAACATCTGTTTTATGTGGCTAAAACTTAGTTTGGTGTCAAGTGGAGCTAATGTGCTAACAAAGTTCAAAGTAAGGAAAACAAATACAAAAAAATAGAAAAAAGCCCTGTTGCCACACTATGAAAAACAAAAAGACTAATGTAACTAAAATGTCCTTTGTAAAAGAAACTATGAATCTTGTGATTTTATAAACAAGAAATGTTACAATAAATTCATAAGGAACACTCTGTTATGGACAAAGGGACTTTGTCTTTTCTCTGTTTTATCTGCTCTCGTACACGACTACAGGCTGACATAACCACAACATTTAAGACTGACGACAGTCACAAGAAAAACTGATGAAGGCAGGAAACACATTGGAGAGGAAGCAGAATGAGGAGAAAATAAAGCAGAACTCGCTCTACAATCTTCACTTGGTGTCTCCCCTAAGGTGAGCTGAGTGGAGCTCAGCTGGACGGTGAATCTGCTCTGTATCTGATCCATTTGGGTGACGTGGAAACATTTGATGATTTTCTGCACTAAACCCTGTTTTATATTTAACCAAAGCTCGTTATTTCTCAATGTAACGATGCTGGGATTTTAGTCGGGTCCTGAAACTGTAAACAGACCTGGGTGGTGGACAGAGGGGAAAATGGGTGAACTACAACAACATGTGTCTTGGTTACTGATTCTGACAAACTTTATTCGTGCAACATGTCTTTATCAATACCAAGAGGTGAAATTAGTCATTTTAAAATGATGATTTTTCTTTTATATATTTTGTGTTGAACTGCCTGTTTTATCAAGATTTGACATAAACACAGATTTTAAAGAGATCACATGATCTATCATTTACACTCAACATATTACAGGTTTTTAAAAAAAGAAAAAACTTGAAAGGACTTGAAATTCAACGTTTCAGACATGAGACTTTCAAAACACTGACTTGGTCCTACTGCTGTATAAAAATAATTTTCAACACGTTGTGTTAGTCCTTGACCGGTAGTGGGCTGCTGCATGAATGTGACTTAAACATAAAGTGTATTAAAACCATTTATTTGTTTTACTGTCTGCAGCCTTGCTGTAATATTCATTACAACATGCCACATGAAATCATTTAAACATTTTTTGAAATAATAATTCAAATATGTCCTGAACTCACAGAAACTAAGTTCGCTCTGTCTCAGGTAGGATCTTGACTTCACAAATTTCTGGACTCCAAATATATTTCATGATTCCCTATTACCACCTGAGACTATGCATAATAACACATTTCATGCATAGCGTGCAGTGGACAGCTATTCAAAAATAATTTTCTTGTGTTTATATGGGTTTTTATTTTGTAAATGCACACAAACCACTAAAGTGGACTCTGGTGTAGTGTAAAATACACTGCCATCTACTGGCCATCCACTGCAAGTTCAAGATATTTTCGTTAAATCAAAACGCCGTTTGACAAGGACTCTAACCTTTCGGAAACAATGAGAAAGAGAAATAAAAAGAAATTAATAAATAGATAAAAAGAAAAGATAAAAACATTAAAAACATCAAACACATCAAAACCCACCCTCTAACCCTACTTTAGCCATAAACAACTCTGAACAGGTGGGTTTTAAGTTGAGATTTAAAGGCACCCAGTGTTTGTCCAGATTGTTCTTTTTTATCAGTGGTTTGATAACTGCTGTTTTCAAAGCCTGGGGGAAACACCTGAAGAGAGCGATGAGTTCACTATTTGGATCAGATCATTAGCAATGACAGGCAGGACTTTCTTAAAGAAATGTGTGGGTAGGACATCCAGACAGCAGGAACTGGAGCTTAATTGACTTATAATTTC